TAAAAAATAAAAATTAATTATAAAAAGTTAATCAAATTTAACACATCCTTTATTTAAATCAACTATTATTTTTCCATGTTCACCTAATTGCTGATATTGTGTGTAAAGTTCATTAATGCTCATTGGTAAATTCACTTGATAAAGCATAACGTTCAACTGTTGACGACTAAACCCACTGAAAATGAAAAGTGTTGATAGATTTGATTTAATGTTTGTGCTTAATGCTTTGAAATATTGAACAGCCATAAAGAATGAACACTGAATGTGTCGACATTGAGTTAATAACTGATTAAAATATGATTTCTCATTTGTTATTAGTTTTGATTTCACTGCATCATCTAGAAAAATGAGTGAATGCAAAAATTCTTTATCAAAATTTGAAATAGAAAGTGTTTCAAATAATTCATCCCGTTGTTTATCAATAATTTTATCCTCTAATCCTTGCTTCTTGATTGTATTATATAATTCTTTATACATTAAAAAGTTTTTTAAATAATCTTCTGCTTCTTCTTGTGATAAATAAATAATTGGAATTTTGATTAAATGCTTTAAAGATTCAAATGTATCATCTGAAGGTGAACCTGAACGGTTGATATAAATTAACACATGTGAATGGGGGGAAGTGTTAGCAATAATGATAATTTGTTTTAATATCGTTAATGTTTTACCTTTATTTTGTTTACCAATTGCTGCAGTGATTGAATTTAAGTAACATTCAGAATATGGAATTTTCATTAATTTTTCCTTAGATAGAGCATTTCTATTATCACTCAATGCTTCATTAATCATATCATCTACGTATGTATTATATACTCCTGCTAATTCTTCATAAGAGGTGGATGAATTTAAATCCATTTAATCAAAAATAAATTTATAATTTTAAACATTTCTATTCATCAATATTTCATCATATGAACTTCTATACTGCGGTGGTGTACCTGTTGGATGATATTTCAAACCTTCATCCGGTGTCCATGTCCAATATGTAGTCCTAGTAAACCAAACCTGAGGAGGATTTGTCACCTTTGAACAGTAAGTGTCATTTTCACCCTGAATGATTGGATAAGCTTTCACTTGTACTGTAACTTGTGAGTTGAAAGTTTCTAATCCATCAAAGAATATACCCGCTCCATTACGTTGAACTGGAATAGTGCATAAGAATGAAGTTTGGTCTTTCCATGTTCTAGCTGGCGTGCCATCATCTGCATTCAGTGGTCTAGTTAATGAGTCCTCGTATTCTTCTGTGCATTCATTCACTCCATCTAAATCAGAAGCTTGAAGCATACGTGTAAAGAATATGTCGCCCACTGTGGTCATCGCTTGATCGGGGAAGTTTCTGGAATCTATAGTGACCTGAAGACCTCGAAGCATTGGATTTTCTAAAACGTTCTTTGCATTGCATTCTTCGGAAATGTTAACACAACATTTGTAACATTATGAAGAGCGTATGAGAAATCTGAGCTGATACCTTCAGGAGTGATGCAACCTCCATTTAGTGAACGAACGTCAATATGTTGAGCTGGAATCATGAATGGATCTTCCTTACTGAATAAACGTGGTATTGCTTTAACTGATTCTTCAATTAAACCATATCCTGGTGTAATACATTTATCCTCTAAAACTTCCATCTTTATGCATGAAATAATAACGTCATCAACTGTTGCGTCAGCAGATGTAGCGGCTAAGCTTGTAATTAATTTGGCAGGAAGTCCGATTTGTTGGAATTTGCGATCATATTTATAAACATGATTCATAATCTTTTCATAATTTTCATCAGTTATCTTTTCATAAACGTAATTTTGTAAATCAGCAACTCTTAACGGGTCAACCTGACAAAATACTAAAGTATCCCTGAAAACATAATATTTAAGAATGATATCACCAAATGATTTAGGATAATCATCGAACGCCTGAAATGCTAACAAATCATTTACCGGAATAATCATATCAAAAGTGATATCAACTTCTTTATTTGCGTTCTTGAAAACTTCTGAAGGGTCAATATATTTACCACATACAGAGTTATCATATTTTTGAACATTATTATATAACGAATGAACAAACTTTTTAACTTTCCTTTCTGATTTTGGTTTATATGTTGCAAATGCGAAAGATTCACGGGCGCAATCCATCTGAAGATAACCGGCATCACCTCTTTCAGTTTCTACTTCTAATTGTTTAAAGCTTTGATTTGATGATTTGTAACCAACGAATAAACGCATGCATTTAAAAGCGGCATCACATGTGAAAGCTTTATTTGAAACTAGAGTTGCTTTAACTTTACGTTTAATATATGTGTCACCTAATTGGTTCACATCATGAGCCGGATTTGTAATTCTTAAATGAGTTTGTTTATCATCAAAATATGGAGTATCAGAGTCATAGCATGAACTTTCAAGTTCTCTATAATATCTTCTACCGTCATTCTTTGCGAATATTTCATTTATCTTTTCGAATGAATGAAACACATTTCCATTAATTGATTTAGTGTTTGGCACTAAATAGTTAGTCGTCATTTATTAATAAATAAAAAATCAAAATTAAAAGATGAAAATGAATTTTTAATTTTAATGAAATAATCAACTATGGCTGTAGGTATATTTAAGAAACTGTGGGATAAAGTAAAAAGAGAAGCGAGTAAAGTTTGGGAAACATTGAAGAAGGGGGCAAATTGGATATTTAAGAATAAAGAAGCAATTAGTGACATTGCTGAATCAATAACACCAAAAGCTGCCCCAATAAGAGAAGTTTTAAATAAAGGAGAAAAAGTTTATCAAAGACTACAACCGATACTAAGATAAAAATAATTTTAAAATAATTTATTTTTCCACTATCTACCTCCTATTTTATTAAGTATTCCTTCAGCAATTCCACCAATTGCGTTACCTGCTTGTGCTCCCATCGCCGGATTACCTGCTCTAGTACCTAATACACCACCTATGATAGTTCCTGCCGTTTTCGCTACTGGTGCCAAAAAGTTTGCAACAGGTTTAATAACCTTTTTATAAACCCAACCCGCAGCTTTCTTAATTCCATCCCATAATTTTTTAAAGAATCCTGCCGCCATTTCTGATTTAATATGAAGTAAAAAATATATTTCATCACTTATATTCTAATTTTTATTTAATGATAAATGAAACCGATTTTAAAAATAAAAGAAACAGAGGAGGAAGAAATAAATGAAAGTGGAAATGTTCAACAAAAAATAAACGTTGTTAAACCAATTACTGAAATAAAAATTTTTTCATCTGTTGAAGAATTTAATGACTATTATGCCAATAATAAAAAATTATTTGAAGAATTGACAACATGTAAATTGAATAAAATGTTTAAAGTTGATGGATTCAAAATTTCAAAAATAAAAGGGGTGGTTAGTTTGAAATCTATTCCTCAATCAAGAATCACCTCATTAATGAAAATTGATGATTTAACAAAAAGAATAGAAGAGATTGAAGAAAGAATGAATCAAATAATTGATTTCATAAATTCAAATAATCATTAGTTTCTAATTTCTTTTACTCGTTTATGAGGTCTTTGATTATGACTTCATTGATTCCATTCAGGATTTAAACAATGTTTAATTAATCGCGGAATATCTGACATCATCTATATATATATAGCTTCTTTTATTTTTCATTACATTATGTATGGGCTGAGTGTAAATGTCTTACAATTTTGAATATTTTTAAATCTTGATTTATTTGTAAACGTAAGAATAAAAACCGTAAGAATCATACATTTTTTACTTCATATGTTAAAAAAAATGATACAAAATCGTTCAATATTGTATGAATTCTTACGTTTTCAAAAAAAGTCACACAACCCGTTATATATACTACTGAGTTGGATTTGATTTCGATGATGCTATGTTATAATCCCAAAAATAGAATATCATTAGATGATGCCCTACATCATAAATTTTTCAACAATCGCCCATTTCCATTGCTAAATACAATCAAAAATATAGAAGAAAATGATTTAGCAAAATTGAATTAGGTAATTGTAATTAATTATTTATTATTTTGAATTATTATTAAAGATTATTAAATTAATTTGTTAAGAGTGAATTTATCTATTTTGTTCAGTTTCTCAATTTTTCATTTAGGCTTCTCTTTACACATGTAGACATTCATTAGAAATAGTGTAAAAAAGTTGAAATTATGAAATTATCTTTTTTTATTATTCAAAAAACCTGAATTGATTTGAGACATACTATAAAATATATAAACTGTGATAACGTAAATAAGTCTTGATTAAAAACAATGTGAAATTATGAAGTTCTCTTTTTTTATTATTCAAAAAACCTGAGTTGATTTGAGACATACTATAAAATATATAAACTGTGATAACGTAAATAAGTCTTGATTAAAAACAATGTGAAATTATGAAGTTCTCTTTTTTTATTATTCAAAAAACCTGAGTTGATTTGAGACATACTATAAAATATATAAACTGTGATAACGTAAATAAGTCTTGATTAAAAACAATGTGAAATTATGAAGTTCTCTTTTTTTATTATTCAAAAAACCTGAGTTGATTTGAGACATACTATAAAATATATAAACTGTGATAACGTAAATAAGTCTTGATTAAAAACAATGTGAAATTATGAAGTTCTCTTTTTTTATTATTCAAAAAACCTGAGTTGATTTGAGACATACTATAAAATATATAAACTGTGATAACGTAAATAAGTCTTGATTAAAAACAATGTGAAATTATGAAGTTCTCTTTTTTTATTATTCAAAAAACCTGAGTTGATTTGAGACATACTATAAAATATATAAACTGTGATAACGTAAATAAGTCTTAATTTGGGAATTATCTTATCAATTTTGGAATTTTTATATTTCAATTTCAATTAATATGCTATGACTTAAATCTATATTGTCATTTTGGCTATCAACCAACACGCATGGCTGAGTCATTACTTGTTAATGAAAAAAAATTAAGAGATAGAGGTGAAAAAAAGCGCCCGATAACAAACAATGAATTATTACTTAATGAAGAGGTGTATCGCCCATTGTAGCTGTTGCATCATGAATTGTTGAAGTATTGGTAGTGTCATCGATGCTGATTTCGCCTCTTGATGACTCGTATGAGAGTACTGACTTAGAATAATCTGAATCTTCTGTGTTTGATTGGTTTGAAGAGCCAGATTCAGCAGAATGAGAGTATTCTTGGTCGACATCCTCGATCTGCTTCTTGTTATGCTTATTGACGATGATAATAACAGCGCTCAAAGCAGCAACAGCAACGAGTGCGATTACGCCACCAATAATTATCTCAACTGGGAGCTTTTGAGTCTGTTCTGATGGTGATGATGTTGAGCTACCTGATTCTGTGGGTGATGTGATGACTGTTTCCGCGTAGGAGTTGTCAACATCTTTAATTGTGGCAATTGAAGGAGCCTGTGGGATAATTCCGGCGAACTGTGGAACTCCTAACTTGGACTTGAGGGTAGCGCTGATCTGAGCTTGGTAGATGGTGACTTCATTTGATTTTTCATTTGCAAGTTGGATATTTCCGAAAGAAACGCGGTTGAATGATCCGCTCTTTTCATTTCTGAAGGAATTGGACTCAATTGGGGTATCGATATCATTGATTGTCGCCTGTAAATTTTTATTTCTGACAGACACTTCATCTCCGAGCAATAACAGTTCCTCTGATATGGTTGAATTCTTGGAAGCCTTAATGGAGATATTATATTCAGTAACGGTCTTTGAGCTGAAATATGTATTAACTTTCTGAGTGGAACCTGTTACTGAAGTTGTTGTCTTGGAGAGAGTTGATGCTGGGAAGTATTTAACAGTTTGGGCTGTAGGAGAAAGAAGAATGACATATGCTTTCGAGTTAATATTTACAATGCTTCCGGCTTTTGCTGGACCTAAGTAGTTAAAAGAGCCAATTTGGTTTTCTTCCTGCCAGTAGGCTTCAACGCGAAGGTCTGTGCCAAAGAAGAAGCCTGGAGTTACGAAAATACATTTCTTTTTATTTTCTTGAATCTCGTAAGTTGCGTCTTCTGTATAATAAGCATCGCTGCATTCATCTGGGATTGTTAAAGATGTCATAACTTCGTTGGTTAAAGAGTATGATAATTGTAAGAAAAAGGATGGAAACATTTGAATTTAATATTGGTTCCAATCGTAAAGCTCTCAATTTTACAGCACGTTATCGGAGATGTTGTTCATGATAGTACCAATAATAAAATAACAAATTATCAAAAAATTGAATTACGATTAATTCTGTCATTCAAAATAATTTTTATGAAATTTCGAATCAGCAATAACATATGAAATCGCTATTGAAAATTCTTGCTGAAAACTTCATACAGTTCATTATTTTTACCGTAGACAAAAAATTCCATGTTCGAAATTTATCTCAAGGTGCCACTTTTGAAATAGTCTAGCTGTCAAAAAACTCGGTAAAGTTGGGAAAAATGTGTCAATTTTTTCCTCATTTTTAAAATATGTAAATGAAGGGATATGCTTGCCAAGAAGCAGATGAATTTCTGAAAATGCTGTTTTTAGGAAAAGAGGTAAATAAGCATGCATGGAATATTCTTTCGTTTTGCACTTTTGGATAATATAATTTTGAAGCCTATCTTAATTTTTCAAATTTTGTGTCTATTATTGAACTACTATAATCCCTTATCAGTTGTATTATCAGAGTCAATGATGCCAGATTGACTTTTGCATTTTTTTTCATGGCTCCCTATAATAAGCATAGCATAATGTTCATGATTTTATATATCTTTTCCGATATGTAAGTAAGTAATGGTGCTGTGTATTCGAGGAATTTCTTACCAATATAGATTTAGAAGAGAAAATAATTCAATCTAGTATGATGGATCATATTTATCCTTCCAAGCCAAAATGTATTTCACCAAAGAGCTAAATAACTAGACATAAAAAAATTGTATTTGGAATCACATGTAAACAATCAGAAGAAGCTAGAAAACACCTTCAGGCACCAAATTTGGCTGAAATATCTAGATAGGATATGCAAAGGGCCACATAATTTTTCTGCAGGATATGAAGCTCATTCAAATGGTATTTACGGATGTGATCAAGCAGTACTTAAGGCAGGGTATAAAGCTTGAGTTGATAGAAACTCAGATTTCAGGATCTCATGATGCAAAACGACATAGATTTAATATATGCAAAAGTGTTATTGTCTTTCTCTTCCCTATTAATCCAAATGAACTTGTAATGCAACTTTATTTAGTAAGCGAGTTTTTCTTGCTTCCAAATGAAGTAAGAAAAATTAATAAAACCCATATTATCTTAAAAGCTTGTTTTTAACCATATCAATGCGTTAATTCCCTTAGTTATTATGAGTCAACATCCGTGAATGCATGTATCATTCCAAATTGTTCATTGAAGAGTAAGATTCCTATTGTTTTATTGTGAAAATATAATATTCATATAAAATTGACATTGGAAATTAATATCACATCTATTTATATAACAAGTGTATGCTTTAAATATATATTCGGAGTTTGGCTGGCAATTTTGTCAGAATTTAATGAATCGATTTTCTACGAAATATAATGAAGCAATTGTACCATAGGTGCTTCTGCTTCAACGTAATCATGATAAGATTGGAGAGGAAGCCTTTGTAAAATTAAACCTCAAAAGCGAATTTTAATTTATTGAAATCAGATGCTTTCTTTGGGATATTTATAATATTTTTAATTTTTTATATTATCTATCAATTTAATTTAATTTTTTGTTAAGGTTATTTGAACGAAATCTTTTATTTTGATTCAAAAGAAATCTCAAATCTTGGATAAATTAAATACAGCCTCAATTCAGAAAATTGAATGTCATCGTTCTTCTACAAATTTTATGCAATTTATTCGAAAAAATATTGTTACCTATCATACAATGTTTCTTAACGATTTTTATTCAATTGAATTTGATAGCAAATAATCGTTTTTTCTTTACAATTTTAATTGAGATGGGGAAAGAATGTTTCCCCATCTCCAGCGATTTAATGGAATGGGGAAAATTTTATCACTTCTTCCATTATATAAGCTCCAAGTCAGAGAGATCAAAGAATTTTAGGCAACATCTTCAAATGTTGCTTCCATTGTATTGTGGTATTAAACTTTCAATGTTATCAGTTACATTAGTATCTTTTAATGATAATAAAGGATGCCAGTTCATTGGAAAAATCCTTGCACAACTTATTTTACTACAATTTCTTGGCCACGATTTTGTTAACATACTTTTATTCTCATCTGTTTTGCTTTTTACAATTATCCTTCTATACTATTATCATCGAATGGATAAAATGATTCTACATCATTCCACAAAGCTAATTAATTTTATTATCCAAGAAATCTCTCCGCTTTTTTCTAATTATTCTGCTTCGTACATACAGATTGAGGCAGAAGATATCTATAACAATCATCGTCATTATTTTTTATTGTCCATTGCAACCTTTACATATATTATTCTAGCGATTTATACATTTATTGGCGCAACATTTAGAGGTTCTACGCCATCAATTACGAGTATTAGTCATTCATTTTGGAAGCACGAACACTATTTTTATCTGACACAGGTGCCGAATGTTGTACAACAAATATGGATCGTCGCACATACGTGGAAGCATGGGTTAATACTAACTCTTTCAATAAGTTTACTTGCATCACTCTCAATGTTTATTTGGTGTTCATCAATACCTTTTATAACAGAACAATCAAACATTTTTGCTACGAACGTATTTGGTTTGACTTCAACGTTCCTTATTTTTCAGATTCTTAAGGCTTACAACTTAATCTCAAATTTCACATTTTTATTATTACTTGTTTTAAGCTCTTTGGCATGGTTTATGTTTTTGGGTAAGGTATTCATGGATTTTTTCGCTTGGGTAATTCTAAAACGAACAAAATTTGAATCTCATGATTTATTTGATGCTGATAACTTCATTCAGTTACCTAGACTTAGGCCATCTCTCTTCTTAAAGCTCACGAGACTCCTTATTGTTCGTGGTTACAAAGATATTCATGCGATCTTAGTAGCCGCCATTGAAAACGAAAGTAACCACAATCTTATATTGGAATGTTCTAAGATGTTGATGGTTCATTCGATTATTCCATATCATCTTCGTCAAAAGATCCGAGAAATAGCTATCAAACAATATTCTTTCATTTCCAAGCCTTTGTTATGCGAGATACAGTATTTCATTGACAAACTGAAGATCAATGCAGTTGACGTTGAACAATCTATTGCAATCATGGAAGATATGAAGCAAAAAACTAAAATTGCACTTTACGCGTTCTCAAATTCACTTTGTGAAAATTTCTTAGAAAAACAAAAATTTACATGTGCATTGAATTATGCCATAACAGCACAGATGCTTATGGATATGGCCGAATACGCGTTAGAAGGTAATCCGCTTTCAATGGAGCTAAATTTGTGTTTTGCAGATTATTTGAACAAAGTCAGTGGAGATTTCATCAGAAACGTTGAACTCCGTAAACAAGCTGTTTCAATTAAGACGAGTTTCATTAAAACAGATGACGATTCGCGACTTTCCATGAAAATTAAATCAATTGATAATATTTCACCCAACACAACAGAAGATTTGCAGCAAATTATATCCCATCAAAAGGCTTTAGATAATATCAGTCATTTACCACTGATATTGATAACAATTTTAGCAGTTTTCTTCGGAATATTATTTTTCTTCCCAGTTGTGTCATTAAATGATTATATCAATAATGGCGCAATCAATCCTAACTATTACTTCGATCACCAGCATTCTCCTGTTCATTTCAAGATATATTTTGCAATCTCGACGCTGCAAACTTACATGGCGTTGTTTAATGCAACAAAGAATTGCTCTGTTTGTAAGTATTCTTATCCTATTAGTATTACAACGATACAACAGTATTTGAACAGTATTACGTGTCCTATTGATGATAAACCGATATTTAATGGTGCAAGTGATGATGCTCCGGCATTTGCAGAAGATTACTACTTTTTCATGGCGAACAAGTTCATTAGATATGATAATGACACGGAATTAGAAGATTATTTACGGAAATCTTATCACGATTTAAGCAATCTCACGGTTGTTTTTGATTCAATCATTGACAGATATTTGATGTGTTCTAATGACATCAAAGATGAAAAGAAGTTGCTGCAATACATCATTCCTTGTGCTGTTTTTGTTTTATTTTTCATTTTATTTATTATTGTTGTTTATTGTCTTTTTGTTCCAACGATTTATAAGATTGTACATATTTTTGGTAGCATCGAACTACAAACTCTTGAAGAGTTTAGATCGAATTTGTTCATTACCATTCATCACCAAAATTCAAGTACTTTTGAACATGAAATTGAAGTCGACAATGATGGAGCTTTAGATTTGGAAGAAATAGAAGCAGAAGATAATGCTCATATCGGACAAACAAATTATAATGGCTTGATTGAACAGTCAATACGTGCTCCTGTCGCTGTGAAATGGTTTGACCTAGCAAGGCCAGGTACATTGCTTTTTTATTTGATTATTTTGTTTGTTATAAGATATTTAATGCCTCCTTTGACTACTTATCTTTATAACAATGTTAGACAGGATTATATAAGTGATAACTTAATTATCATGGAAGAGATCAATAACATTTCATCCCTTTTGATTCAAATCGATACATTCTTTGCAAACATGGCTGGTTTGGATGATGTCCATGCTTCTAAAATAAATTTAAGCGAAAATTGGGGTGAAAATGTTACAAAAGCTGCGACAAAATGGAATAATTTTCTTGATATTCAAAGTAACATGACAAAGAGAGAGAAAGTTGCTGCAATTATTGACATACTAAATGTATTTCCAGCAGTCTTTAATCGCATGCACACTAATTACAGATTATTCCAAGATACTGTTGCAAAATACGCTGAATCTTTTCATTGGATGTTAACTTTCATCATTTTTTTCACTTATATGATATTTATGACTAGGTTTATCTCTGCTCAGAAGTTTATCCTTAAGAACTTGAAGCACTTGGTTTTAATCCTTCATAGCAAGTATGCATCGACTGTTTCGATAATGATTAATAACTTGTCTTTTGAAAATTATTCAAACAAAGATTTCTCAATTGACAAAACTTCTGAAATCATTACTTCGCAGATATCAGATGTTGTTATATTCTTTAACAATGATTTAATAATAACAGGAATGAATCAGCAGGCGTCGGCACAATTTGGCAAACTTTTGGATAAATATAAAATTAAAAAATTAGATTAAATAATTCCAACGGAATGTAACAAAGATTTCTATAACTTTATTACATCTATGTCATCTCCATTGGGAATTCATGCGAGAAAACACTTCGAATTCATTTGTCAGGCAAAAATTTCCACAAGAACTAAATATACAGGTACATTGATACCATTGTTCACATGTACAGACACAAACTACTCATTGATAATGCGCGACTATACAGATATACTGAATATGAGAGAAGAATTGAACTTATTAAACAGATCTGTTCACAGTTTGCTAAAAAGACTTGTGCCTCCATACATTTCTGATATAATGACTAACAACCACATGAAAGACGTATTTGTCTCTCATGAATCTGCAGTTGCAGCGATGTGTTTGAAACCAAGTCAAGAAATTGTTTCTCAAGATAGTGATCTTCTTGATGATTGTGATATAACACAAGTCTGTATCTCAATTGTCGACAAAGTACTTGGTAGTTATCAAGATATTTCAAGAATCAGAACATTTAACGGAAACTTTTTATTTGTTACATCATTATTCAATGATGATGAGAAAACTGATAAGGTGACATACTTACTCTCATTCCTGGAAGAAGCTGTCGCAGAAATTAACAAATATATGATGTTCAAAATGCTTGTTTCATGCACAATATCCTACGGAGGACCTATTTATGCATGTATAACAGGCATTTCCAAGACAATGTTCGATGTTTTAGGCAATGAATTGACTGAATGCTTCGACAACCTTGATATTGTTCCCCCAGGTAAGATTATTTTTACAAGTGAAGCATATGATAGGATGAAAGATCACTCAATATCAAGTCAATTCATACCGCCAAGGCAGTTGAAGAAAAAAGTTTATATAATGAACAATTATTTAGGAATGAATTTCAATAGTGTATCACCTGAGTTGTAACAATTTCAATTATTATATTATTTTTGTATTGTTTTATGTACATTTTTTATGTAAAATATTTATCATGCTTTATCGAAAAGAATCGTTCATGAATAACGATTACTAGTGTTTTTATATATAATTATTTCGACGGAGCTTAGCAAATGAAGACCGTAGCGAAATCAATCTATCAGAATATGTCAGGCACTGGCTATTCTCATTATTTTTGTGATGTGTCGGCATATGCTAAAAAAGTTAAATAATTGTGATTGGACACTTTTAGATGTTCAATATTGATCTAAATATAAAATCAATATATAACAGTAACAATCAAATAGTGTTTATGAAAAGATAGACGAACTATCTTTTGCGTTACTATAATTCGAATGATATCATATTTTTTAACTTTTTTAGCGAAGACGTAGTTTTTCGACATAATATTTTTGAATAACGATATAGTTTCTCCAAAAATTTATGTTTTGGGGAACTTAAACGAATGTCAGAATATTGGAAAAAAAATTATGAGGACATTTTCGTAATCAAATAACAGATTTGTAACTTATATGTACGTTTAATTCTGAAATCAAGCGTAATTTCGAAATGGGTAAGATAATATCGTGATGTCTGATGTGAAATTAGTAAAAAGAATAAAAATTTTATGAATGGTTCTTTGATATTAATACCATTCATGATAATCGTTATAATTTATAAAACATTTTGTAGTTCAGTGCAATCAATATTTGTGAATTGTCAAATTTATTCTCAAAATTTTGAGAGCAATTGATTGGAATAAAGATATAGAAAATATATTTATTGATAGAAATAGCAAAATTGGCCAGATATAATATCGGAAATAAAATGACATCACTTCACATTGTCCCTTTGAAAATTTGATCTTTGAGGAAAATATTCCGGAAACCACATATATATGTATAATATCGAAAGATTAAAAAAATTAAGAAGGGACTTAGATGTCCTGGTTATAAATTTTGAGGACTCTAACCGTTGTCTAAAGAAGTGAAATGATTGGAATGTTAACTTCATTTCATTTTCTGGAATGGCTGAAGAAGACGTTCAGACACTCGTTATCGATAACGGCTCTGGTATGTGCAAGGCCGGCTTCTCTGGCGATGAAGCCCCACGCTCTGTTTTCCCATCCGTTGTTGGCCGTCCAAAATACAAACAACAATTAGTTGGTGGCAACGCCAAGGATGTCTTCGTCGGTGATGAAGCTTGCTCCAAGGCTGGTGTCCTCATCCTCAAGTACCCAATTGAACACGGTATCGTCAACAACTGGGATGATATGGAAAAGATCTGGCACCACACATTCTACAACGAACTTCGTGTTGACCCAACAGAGCACCCAGTTCTTCTTACAGAAGCCCCACTCAACCCAAAGGCTAACCGTGAGAAAATGATCTCCCTCATGTTCGACACATTCAATGTCCCATCCTTCTATGTCGGCATCCAGGCTGTTCTTTCCCTCTACTCCTCTGGCCGTACAACAGGTATCGTTTTCGATGCTGGTGATGGTGTTTCCCACACAGTTCCAATTTACGAAGGCTACTCCCTTCCACACGCCATCATGAGACTTAACCTCGCTGGCCGTGATCTCACAGCCTGGATGGTCAAGCTTCTCACAGAGCGTGGCAATGCTTTCAACACAACAGCCGAAAAGGAAATCGTTCGTGACATCAAGGAGAAGCTTTGCTATGTCGCCCTCGACTTCGATGCTGAAATGGAGAAGGCCGCTACAGACTCCTCCATCAACGTCAACTACACACTTCCAGATGGCAACGTCATCACAATCGGCAATGAGCGCTTCCGCTGCCCAGAAATGCTCTTCAAGCCATACTTCGATGGTATGGAATACGATGGTATCGACAAGACACTCTTCGACTCCATCATGAAGTGCGATATCGATGTTCGTAAGGATCTCTACGCTAACATCGTTCTTTCTGGTGGCACAACAATGTTCCAGGGCATCGCCGAACGTCTTGACAAGGAAATCACAGCTCTTGCTCCACCAACAATGAAGGTCAAGATCGTCGCCCCAGAAGAGCGTAAGTACGCCGTTTGGGTCGGTGGCTCCATCCTTGCTTCCCTCGCTACATTCCCACAGATGGTTATCACCAAGGAGGAATACGACGAGGCTGGCCCATCCATCGTTCACCGCAAGTGCTTCTAAACAATTTCGGTATAATATATTTCAAAATTAATTAACTTTTTTCTTTAGTGAACCTGTTTTGGAAATCACTTCATTAATATTGTGTTTTAATGGTTTATATGTGACCAATACGATGTACCCTGAACATTTCTTTTCCAATATGATTTTTACCTTTCACCAAATACAAGTATCATGCTAATTAAAGTGCCTGATTTGCATTGTATTCTTTAACTATACATAATTGAATCAATCAATAACACTTGATAATTGTGTATTATTCCTTGTTGATTTAAAAGAATATCTTTTGATATTTTGAAGTAAATTAAATTATTCTTCATCAAATCATAGAGATAAACTAAAACAAGACATTTATAGTAAGTTAATCAATTTATTAATAAAAATACAAATTTAAATAATACAAAATACTAATTGAATTACTCGTTGACCATTCCAATCTTCTTTAGAACATTGAGAAGTTGAGGATCAATTCCTTCATCCAAGTCTTCGTAGTGAGCAATCTGTGAGTACGAGCTAGAGTCGTCAGATCTATTGTCATCTCTATCCAAAGGACTTGAAATTGGTCTAGGAATTGCAGAAACATCAATAGGAACGATGTTTGCATTTTCGCATTCCTTCATCATATAATCATTTTCGTGGCTCAATCTATCATCGGTTATCTCAACGAATGACAGCAATCTCTTGTACTCCTCGTACGATCTCTTGTAGCTCAACCTGTTGTGCTGGTCCTTGACTTTGTCGCTGTTTTCGTTTGAGCTGAATTCCTGTTCAATTGCCGTACTTAATCCGTCCTTTAATCCATTGAATTCGTCGATCAAATTCTTACGACTTTCCTGGAGTTCTTGGAGTTCCTTTCTTTGTATTTCTCTGTCTTTGACCAAGTTATGATACTCCAGAGCGTTTTCGAAGAGAGATTTCCTTTCGTTCTGCATTTCTTCGAATATGTCTGTGATCAAGTTTTGGTCGTGTTTCGGCAGAGTCGTTGAAGGAACAGTTAATTTCGGCCTTGGAATTGCGAATGCGTGAGAAACTTTGTTTCCTAAGTAACGACTTGTTTCAGTGAATGCGTCGATGTCGTCTTTCGTGAACTCGAAATGCGACATGCCGTCATTCTCAAGGAACTGATTGGCTGGGTCAATAACTGCCTTCAAACGAGAAATGGCCAAAATAATTCTCAAAGCATTTTCAATTTCTTTTGAATTTTCTTTTTCGTTTTCGAGAATTAATTTGTGGAACTCGTGATAAACAGCATTGACTTCCTTAGAATTATAGCTAGAGAGATTGTTCTCGAGCCTAGAAATCAATTTATAGATCTCTTCCGATTTCTTTAAATTGGCGGTTTTGACAAACAATTTACATTTTCCAAACAAAATGTCATAATTTACACCGTTGCTTAAGAAAATGTTTTCGATTGTTGACACGCAATGACTGAGTTTTTCTATTGCTTCCAATGTCAACTTCATTGTTGGCTTTATAGAACTTGCGAAGTTCCTTATTGACAAGCATTGCGAAAACAGATTTGAGTTTGCATCGTTTGTAAATGCTCCTGAAGAACTTAATTTCAAAGCCAATGTTGTAACATATTTGATGAATCTCAAATAATTAAATGTTCGACACAAAGAGAGTTGTACTAGTTGAGAATCAGAGATTTCGCCAATGAGAAGAGCTAATGTATCATGATGTTCCAAGAATGAAATAAACGTGTGTAATTTCTTGTAAACATCTGTAAAATCTTGTCTATTTTTGAAATATTTTCTCAAATTCAAAGCGGTTTTGCCAAAACTTATAACGGAATCCAAACTTAATCCGCCAGAAGTCAGCAAACTAAACAATGAATGCAATGGCTCTGTCTCGTCATTATATTCCGGCAAGTTCCTCTTTATTTCCTTTGCGATGTCATCGATCTGGCAAATGTTGATTCGCCAGTGATGTTCAATGAATCTGTTCGCGTAGGAATCACCGTAATGACCAAGTTCGTAATCGTCATCAATTGAAACGAAACCGTAATCTTTAACTTTGATCAACAAACTCGTGTAATCTCTTGTCATCGCCAATATCCTGTAATGACCGAGATTTGAGTACGTGCTTGTTACATCCTCGTTAAATTCAGCCTGACAGATCATTTGCATGTGTCCGATTGCTCTGTTTTCTTTTTCGCAGAGAACAGGGGCTTCGACAAGTTGCCACAAATCATCGGCCAATTTAGGGAATTCAGTCAATCTCGGGAGATTTATACACATTGGCTTGATTTGTTGGACGCCGTCGACATCAGTCATTCTACACAGTTGGCTTACGATATCTATCCATTGAACTAAATTGTTGTATTCATTGTCGTCGTCTTTGAGAAAAGCAGCTCCCAAAATTGAACCCAGAGACATTTTCATTGTGTTCAAAAGTGAAATTCTTTGTTGTACCATTCCACTTTGTAACTTATTCTGCATCAATCTCTGTACATCAATCAAGAGATTGCAGCCTGCTGGTTCTAACAAACTGTGGCCCTCAAAGATCTCTTCGTTGGACACGAAATGAGCAAAGAATCTCATATAAGTCAGTTGCAAAGCATTGGAATAAGTTATTAAATTACCAAGATCTAAACAATAAAATAGTTGGTGTAAATAGTTCAAATCTATTAATTTCTTATAGATTTTTTCGTAGTTTTCGCATTCTTTGTTTGTATTCTCGTCATTAAATATTTTTTCTATGTTTTCATATTGTTTTTCTTCTTCTTTTGTTTGAGAAAGTTCACTTTTCTTCATAATAATGAATTGTTTCAATTTTTTTATTATGTTTAGTAATTGCGAACCATCAACCATCTTTTCCTTCATGTCCTTAGCGAAAGCGTTGAATCTGGTTGTTCCATCCTTGAATGTATCATTTATAAAGTCAGCAGTTTCATTCATGAACTCAAAAATCGAAGGGAAAATTAATTTGTCAACAGAAAATTTTTCATTTTTCTTGTTGATTATTTGTATTCCTGCTTCTTCGATTTTGTTGGCCAAATTCGAGATGAAATCTGCATAGTTACAGTTGACTTCGTGTACATGGATGTTTGACCTTATATAAGGACCAACTTCGTAATTCGAAATCAAAGGGAAATTGAGTTTTAATATGTCAACTTTGACATTGTATTCCGCGGCGTATTTGTTGAGTCCGTCAACAGCTCTCGCCATCTGTGAAACGGGGATTATTATGTCAAACAATTCTTTGAAAAGGACAAAGGCGTGGTCGAATATTTTCGGGTGGTTTTGGAGGTTTTCTTTCACAATTTTTCTGCCAGTTTCGAGGGATTTAATGATGCAGTTGATTTTCGTCATCGGAGACTTGATTAAGTAGCAGTCTCTGACGAACTGGCTCAAGTTCGCAATGCATGGATCATTCTCCGAGAAGATTTTGGCATTTTGAAGTGATCGAAACTGGGAAATCAAAATATCTAATTCCTGGAGATTGACGAGGAAGTTTGAACTGGTGAAAGACATGTCCAAGCGGTCGAAGAAGTGCTGCATCTCGTTGAACACGGATTGTATCGATTGGACAATCACGGCGTTGCTTGGATGAGTCATTTCACTCAGTTTCGATACCCAAAATGCGGCCAAAACAGGAGATTCGGAGGCACAGTCCAAAGAAAGCAAAGGAGCAAGAAGATTTTGAAGCATCTCGGCTCGCTTGCTTTTACTGGACTTCTTTTCTTCATCGTTCATGTCTTCTTCGCTGATTTCATCTTCATCATCATCTTCTCCTTCATCTTCTTCATCAATTTCTTCGTCATCTTCTTCTGCCTTGGCTACTGAATCTTGGCCTGAGTACTCTTCGTCCTTAGGAGCAACGGATTCGTCTTCTGATGATTCATTCTCTGGAACGTAGTTTCCGTTGGGATGTACACTGCGGGTGGATATATGTACTGGCTCTGTATTCAATGTTTCGAGGATGATCGAGCAGTTTTCGTAAAGTGTATGTCCTAATAAAATTGTTTTGAAGTCAATGATGACGATTTGGGACTTCATACAGCATTCAATGTATTTGTTTTCGTATTTGTCGCCTAAATCCTTCACAATATTGCCAACAGCTTCGTTGAATTGAAGGGATTGTTGTAATTTGGTATAAATGTCAGTAATATTGTCGAGAGTTAGTAGTTTGTTGATGCTCTGGCATGATCCTAACACATCTTGATGGCATGACTCTAAGTTGTCATATGCCATGGCAAATTCTGAATTTGAATTGATTAAATCTTGAAAGTTTTCATGAATTGCATTGAGTTCTTTTGATGTCTTAGATAAGCATGCCATTATGGTGCCCTTAATATCCTCTGTATTGACATGTTTGAATATATCAATCAAATTAGCAACAATAATCTGGAATTTCTCTCGTGATGTCTGTGTAACTTTCTTTCCATCGAATTTCTGAACTAATTCTAGGTATTCATCGATAGCTTTTTTGAAGATTTGTAAATTTGAAGAAGAAATGAAAATCGATCTTTCAAAAAACATCCGATATTTAACGAAGACTTTATAATTCTTCATTAAACTCTGATAGAGACTAGAATTTTCTTTGTCTCCGAAAAATTTTTCACTTTCTGGATCATTTTCTTCAACAAGAGGCTCTGATAATTTGATAAACTCATCTATGATAGGCATAGTTAAATCGAGGTCATTATGAGAAAGGTCCTCTAGATTTATCTGAGTACCTGACTCCATAAAAATAATTTTTGAAAAATAAAATATACAGGGTTTTATTCCCCCCTCAAATAGATAAAAAATTCTTTCAGAAAAATTAGTTAAACCAAGTTGTTTAAATTTCATTTTATATGGCCAATCTAAATTTAAATAACTTTCGGTCTTTGAGAAACATTTAGTGAACGTTTAAAAATTAAGAATGTCAACTCATGAGCTTAATCAAATGATTTCTCTTGGATTATACAAGTCTGTAAACATGGCTGTCCAAATGACAGCTTCTCCTAGTCCTCAACTTTTGATTTCAAGAGCTTTTGCATTGATAGATATGAAACTTTATGAAGATGCACTCCATGCGGTTGAATCAGTCGACATGTTTGGTTTAAGCCAAGAACTTGCAAATGATTTAATAGAAATTCGACTTACAGCACATCTTAAAATGAATAATCCACAAAAATGTTGCACAATTATTCAAAGTCGAGACTTCTCAAACAGATTACTTACACCAAAACTCGATTTGCTTGTTGCTCAAGTTCATATGTTAAATAATCCTTTACCAAATCCAGACCACCCTGCAATTCCACATTTACTTCGTGTTCTACAGAGGTATCCGCTTGCTTTTGAACTGATAGAAAAGCTTATTGGTATTGGTGCTAAGATACCAGAATTTATTCTAAATTCACCAAATTCTTGTGTCAAAAACTATGCGCACGCACTTCAATTGGCTGAATCAGGTGATTATAAAGATGCAGTGAGATGCCTAAATCAAATTCTTGTAACAATCCCAGGATGCATTCCAGTATTAGTTAAAATTTGCCAATTTGCAATTGCAGACAACAATACACAGCTTTTTGAAGATACTATTGTCTTAATCCCTGAGAATAACCTTGAAGTTATTGAACTCAGAGCTGTTAACCTCAAACAGCAGCAAAAGAAAACGCAATTAAACCAAGTTGTTCTTCGTGCTTTGAACACAGATCCAACGTCAGCCAATGCATGGATTGCATTTTCACATTTACTTGAAGCTAATGGCGATCAACAGCGCGCATTACAAGCTACAAGGAAAGCTTTGATTCTTGAGCCAAATTCTCGCAGCGGATTCATGAGACATGGTGAATTACGTCTTCAAAGAAATGATGTTGTCAAAGCACATTCAGCATTTACTCATGTCCATACATTGAATCCTGCCATCGATTCATTCAGTGCCATTGTTCAATGCGATTGTTTATTGAAGAATTGGGAAGAAGCAGAGTCATTTGCTGCAGGAGCAGTGAAGAGGTTCAAACCTGATACATATGCAGGAAACATGGCTATTACTCTTTATGGCCTTGCAAAGAGAGGAACTGATCCAAAGAAAGCTGCCGAAATTCTTAGAAGATGTTTAGAGAAAGATAGTGGAAATATTGAAGCATTGTCAGCTTTGATTGAAATGCATGTTAAAGATAATGAATTCGACCAAGCAGAATCATTACTCATGAAGCATCGTAACTCAAAGAATATCTTCTTCTTCAACTACAAGATGGCAGAAATATACTCAGTTAAGAGAGATTATCAAACAGCAATGGATTATGCACAACAAGCTTTGCAAATCGAACCAAATAACGAGCGTGCAAAAGATCTTCTTGAGCAACTCGAAGGAGTCTTAAGAGATAACGATGACACATTTGAAGAAGACGAAGTTGATTTGTGAGCTGGCACCCATCAAAAAAATCTGTATGTTAAAAGTAAATCTTTCTATAAAAAAATGACTCTTTAATGTTTCTTGTTTATTAAAGATATGGAATAGATTCAACAGTAATAAACAACCAACAGTAGTTCACTCGACCATTTGTTGACGAAGGAACAACAACAGGAATGCCTTTAGGAGAAATTCTCCCGATATTTCTCTGTGAATAAATAACCAAATTTTTAAATTTTATTTGAAAATTATAAAAGCTGATTGATAAATACTTTATTACTTTCGACTTTGCTATTGTTATGGTATCATTTAATATCGATATGCTTAATCAAAATTCATAATTCATGAGTCAAATTATATGAGCTTTACAATTTTTTGTAGTATATGTTTCCCACATATATAGAAAAAAAAAAAAAAAAAAAAAAAAAAAAAAGGTAGTGGGGCTTCCAGGCACTTCGTGCCCTCTAGCCCCGAAGATGTTTAGTATAAAATGAGGTTTTTATTCAGAAATGTTTGCTTTAATGTTTTTTACGGATGGAAATGAACTGGATATCGTCTGAGTCTTCGCTTGTTTCCTCCTCTTCTTCTTCTTCGTCCGAATTGTCTTCATCTTCACAATAACCAGATAAGAAGATGGTTATTTTGGTTTGTTCTGGTTTTTTGAGAAGCATTTTGGCTGTGCCAGTAAAAACGAACTCAAGATTTTGATAGAATTGTCTGCTTGAGTGAGTGAATTTGCATACTGTAAGTGGCATTGCAACTCGGTTTGCTTGAACAGATATTATTGAAACTTCTTCTCCATCTGGTATCCGTTCAGGAATATCTAAAGCGGCTGTTGTGATAATATGCATATTGTTTTCGTAATGCAATTTTGGATATATTTCGAATGGATGTGCAGCTACACCAGCTGGAGCAACAATGGAAAGATTCCAGGAGAAAGAACCGTGTTTGTTTTCATCTTCTTTCCAATTGTAAGTTAAAGGATAAGGGCGAAAGTCTTTGAGTGTTTCATATAGCTGTTCTCTTAAGTTTGGTTCACAGCAAAGAATGAATTCGTCAATTGCTTGAAGAGATATCATAGTTGAAACATAAGGCAAATTCGACAAGAAAAAGTCAACCATTACTGTCGGGTTTTGAACTTTGTTTTCTAATGTTTCGACTGGTTTTATTATACTTTTGAAATATCTATCATAGTCATTGTTGTCTGTTAAGGACAAATTGTTTGGATAATCTGCAATGAGTCTTCTATATCTTGCTTCTGTTGTTGAGAATGAGAAGACACCTTCTGGTTCTGTAGGAGTGTAAGTTTTTAGTTGAACTTGAGCTTCAATTTGTGTCTGATTGGAGTCTGATTGGACTGAAACAACTTGAGCTTCTGTAGTTTGTTCGACTTCGGCAGTTTCTTTTGGTTGAATTTGAGCTTCAATTTGTGTCTGATTGGAGTCTGATTGGACTGAAACAACTTGAGCTTCTGTAGTTTGTTCGACTTCGGCAGTTTCTTTTGGTTGAATTTGAGCTTCAATTTGTGTCTGATTGGAGTCTGATTGGACTGAAACCTGTGTAACCTCTTTGGACATACTAGTAAAGTATGAAGATATAAGTGTTTGACCTTTAAAGAGCTTTTGTAAAGAATTGTCAGTCATGCTACTACTGTGGTCTTCCATTAGACAAAAATGAACTGTTTTTTTCGGACTACTCATAGAAAAGTTTGAAATAAACGGTTTTGTCAACGGTAACCCCCTCTATTTTTTTATTTTATTGAAAAGTCTCCGTTGGCAAACCGTTCCATCTCAAATATTGAATGAACTATAAACGTTTTTTGTTTTCTATATATACTTTTTTGTCCAACGGTAAAACTTTTTACACAACGGTTTTTGAGAGTCGTCGCCGTTGACTTTTTTGTAGAGCACTCAAAATAGTATAACTTTGTCCGGACAAGTAAGGGTCTATCGTCGCTACAGGAAAAGTTACGGGCGTTCCAAGGAAGTATACTTTGAGAAGCCTTTTCTCCATTTTAAAACAAGATAGGACGGTTATTTTACAAAACTGACAACACTTTGACCGAGTAGTTTTTTGTGCTGAACAAAAAGTGTCATATAAACATCTGTCAAAAACCGCTTTTTAACTTCACTTAAAATGCCACGTAAGCTACGTAAGAATATACGTAAGAGGAAGAGAGCATTGAAACATCCAATAGTAAGACTAACACCACAACAACAGTTGCAACAACAAATGCTGAATGACCCCACTATGTTGCAACAAATGTCAAGCAACCCTATGCTTTTAAACCGAGTTATTGGTGCACAGAGTGGAGGTTTAAGAGCGGCACTTTTAGCGAAAATGGCAGGCTATGGTGGAGCTGCAGACGGAACAGCCTATAACCCTCAAAGTCAAATGAATTTGAGTTCACTCAAAAATCAAATAACAGATGTCAAAAAGTCAAACATAGACATACAGAAACAAATAAGTGAAAACGAAAAGAAACTAGAATATGACAGACATACAAAGAAACTCAATGAGTTAAACGTAGAGAAAAAGAAGAAAGAAGAACAACTGAAAGAACTAAGTACAGAGGAATATGCGAAAAAAGTGTCAGAAAAAGCAGCAGAAGTAGCAAAAATGGAACAAGATGTTGTAAATTTGAAAAACCATACTACTCAATATAAAATACTGAAAGATGAAGAGATAAAACAAAAAGCCCTGAAGACATATATGGATAGCGATGAGTATAAAAAAGAAGTTGAAGCAAATGTAAAGGCAGAAAAACTTTTACAGTTGCAAAACCAAACCGTACAGTATGAAAACTTAGCACAAGAAAGTAAAAATAACGACGCAGCCATGCAAAAGGCAATGAAAAGCGCAGAATATATAAAAGCTAACAATGACTGGTTAGATGCCCAAGCCAACGCTAAAGCAGCCCAACTCATAGGGTCAATAAGGACAAAAATACAAGCGGATGAAGACAGTTCAAATGAAACTTTAACAAATGCTGACTTTAAGAACGCTTTCGAAGCTCTTCATAGTAAGGTGAAACAAGTGAACGACTTCTCATCTGGAAAGAAACTGAAGTCTGAAGGTTTCGACAAAGAGTTAAAAGAAGTAGCACAAAATATGACGAAAATAACAGATGCAGCAACGAGACAGGCAGTTCAAAGTGCCTATGACGCCGTTAGAGCAACTGTTGTGAAAAGTCAAGAAAAAGAGTTACAACAGACCAAAACAGACCTAGTAAATGCTTTCTTAAAAACGAAAAGTCAGGTAGGACATTACGCTGCAGATGGAACATATGTGCCAGCTGGTGGAACTTATATACCACCAAACCCTCCAAGAGAAGCACCTGCACCAGGACTACCTAAAACATTTACATCGTCACATGGACACAGACACAGGCATGCACAACAACCACCTCCACAACCAGCACAGCAACCAACAGTTCAGAACCCTGCACAACAACCAACAGTTCAAAACCCTGCACAACAACAACCACAAACAGAGCAAGGACATAAAAGAAGTAGAGAACAAGGAAACCAAGAATTCTTAAAAATGCTTAAAGAAGAGTGTGGTTTCCCAGATACTGTTGACTTTAGTGACAGATATAAAGAAGCTATTAGAAAGTTCAAGGATGGAAATACTGACCCGAACCTATTTAGCTTTATGGCTCAGCACCAAAACGGATATAATCTCAAACCTGGAAAATACAAGCTCGCTAAGGGATATGATTTAATAGCATATCATCCAAATGACATGGATGAATTTACTCCGAGATATTTGATGTCAGAGCTAAATGACAATTCAACTTTCGTCATGAAACGCGTAAAAAATAGAGACGGAACGAAAGAACAAAAGCTTATGAATGCGGATGACGTAGATAGGGAAATTGTTAAAACGGTCTCGGAATATATGAAATGCCAGCAGATGAGGTACAAGAAACTCCACAGGAAGAAGTTCAGATACAACCAGACATGGAAGAAATAGTTCAGCAACAACAGCTAGAAGAGCCTGAAGGAAACGAACAAGTCCTCCTTTGGAAACTAACTTCACAGAACTAGATGAAGATTTGGAACAGCCGAAAAATCTTGACCCTCAACAAGAGTATGCGGAGAATATGGAATATTTCCAAGAGTCTAAAAAAAATTCGGCTGACATAGTAGAAGAATATCGAAAAATGTTTGCCGACATACAAAAGACTCCAACATCAGATGAAAATATCCAGCATAGAATGGAAGAACTGAAAAAAATGTACACAAATACAACAACCCTTTTTACTTACGAGCATTTAACGTTCAATCTTCGGATGAACTCGGTGAAAATAAAAGGTTAAATTTCAAGAAAACATATAGAAATGAAACATTGTTTAAAGTTCATTCAGAACCTAACCAAGATGGAAACAAACCTACTTTTGTTTCTGCAGACGATGGAACTACAATGAGATGGGGTCATAAAGCTAATCCGGATAGGTGGTTCATAAACTTACAACCACAATTCCAAGAAGTTGTAGACGCAATGGAAGTCAATGGTGAACCAGATATAGCTGGTATTTTCAGCGCGGCTTTAATGCCATTGAAAGATATGAAACATGCAGATATTTTGGACCAGTATGAAATGAACATGGCTGATGGAAATATAACACCTGACGTTCTAAACATTTATCTCAAAGAACTACACAGAACCATAGAGATGGTATATTTGGTGAAGAGTTTAGAAAGAAAGTTAGGGAGGGCGAAGGAAGAGAACCTATTGTACATGACCTTGCAAACGAAAGTTTACAAAATGTCATAAAAACTTACTTTGCAGACAATGAAATGAGAAGGGATGAATATTTAAGAAAACTCAAATGGACAGTACCAAATGAAATGTTAGTATTGAAAAACATGTTCCTTGACAAAATAAAACCAACTACAGAAATAAACGACGCAAGACTGAAAGATTGGGTAAAAGCTTTCCCATTCACAAAAGATATAGTTGGTAACATGGAAAGAAAACCAGAATGGCTACAAAAACATATATTTGGA